AACCATTTTGAATCGACGATGTTCTTTGCTCGGTTAGGCTTTACCAGAATCCATGTTCTATTTTTCTTCAAGGCGTCAAGTTCCTCCTGAATTGCTGCTATCCACTTTTCGCAAATAGGGTGTCGCGAGAGCTTCTTGAACTGTCCTAGGATCAGATTCTGATTTTATCGCTTGATATAGAACTTAGTCTGGGTACTCTTGAGCTTTTCTATTTCTTAGTGGATATCTCCGCTCAGTCTCTTGAAGCGGAGGTTCGATAGATGTGCCTGATTCACAGTTTTCAAACTCACTATCTACTATTCTGGGAAGTCTACTGACTCTGTTGGTCTCTCTTGTTCTTGGTTATCCACATTACTAGGTACAGTTAACTCCTGTTCCGCTATTTCCATACTGGGAACATTAGGAACTTCCTCCAAGTGTAGTTCTGTCGTAACTGGATCTCTTGAACAATTGTCTACGACAAGTACCTCGCTAAGAAGTTAACCATTGCTACCCAAGTCTTCTATTTGTTTTTAATGTGTCTCGTTATGTTTTTGATTTTCAAAAACTCCACATCTCTCGCTTCGAATAATTCTCCAGAAACAGGATTTAGTCCTTAATATCCCATTTGGTCCTTCTTTGGTTGGGGATGTGCATAAATGCTTTACAACCAAAGGTTCTGATCATGCTGAGTTTAGGTTTCTTTCCTGACCATTTCTCTTCCGGAGTCATATTCTTAACTGCAATCGTAGGCGATTTATTCTTTAAAAACACAGCATGGCGGACAGCCTCTGCCCAGAAACGTTTAGCCAGTCCAGCTTCTTGTAGCATGCTCCTTGCTTTTTCGCAGATGGTGCGATTTGCTCGCTCAGCTACACCGTTCTGTTCCGATGTGTTATCAGAGCGAAAGATTTTAATTTTCTTACCACATTGATTCTCAGCAAACGCTTTGAACTCCTTAAACTTTTCGAAGACTTCAGATTTCTGCTTCAAAAAATATACATAAGTCACGTTGTTCCTGATAATATGTTCTCAAAAACAGCAAACAACTAACTGACTAAACAACCGACGAAAAAATACGCTCACTTTCGACATTGGTGGGCAATACTGATTTATGATACTTGTATGCCTACGTAATATAAATTCCTCTTTCCCCACCATTGTCATATATTGCTTTATCTGTTCGAACAAATCCCAGAAAGTTAAATTCTTCTGTCAAAAGCATTGCTTTCTTCTTTGATTTGCATTTTTCAATTTCCTTCTCAAGTTCCTCTAGCAAGGCCAGCTTACTTGTTGAAGCAACATCGACTAGAGGTGCATCATCCTCATCAGAAAATAATAATACAGCTGACGTTGCTTCAGTTCTTCTTTATGAGAAACTGAGAGAGCTGGTTGGGTTTTCTTTATATTTCAGGCGTTTTAGCATGCAGATCATAATGTCACATATTTCATCACTCGTGGGTTTTGCAAATGAATCGTCTTTTGTAGCGCTGTCGTTATAAAAGCTTTCGGAGTCATGAATGTAATCTAATACTCCTGCTTATTGGAGAGAGTTGACCAGTTGACTTATAATTGTATTGGCTGATTCTTTGAATAGAAAAACACCGTAGTTGCACAGTAACTATTTATTTTAACGATAATTCAAAATGCGTACATTACACACAAGCACGGTTGCTAAGGGAGAGCGCGGTAACGGAAAAGCCACCACTTTACTATTTTTAATGTGGCAGTGTTAAACTAACAAGTTTGAAAACTTTAATTGCAATAATACCAACATGTAATGGCATTACAAAAAATATATATATACTTTTGTATACGAGTATATAAACTTTAAAATAACAATTTATTATTATTAATATTGAATATAGATATCAATGAGTTCAATCAATGGAAAAACAAACAAATTTTCGAAATTGATCTAACCTGAGTTTTGCCAATTGCTAATTTTACTTCTACAGCTCTGACATGCCATCATGACCAGGGAACACTTTAACAATTCTAGCCATTGGCCAATACATTGTAGGTTATTTTACTTTAAAATTACAAGATTACCAATTGTAATATTAGGTTTAACATCTAACCACTCGGGTCTATTTTGCAGAACATTTAAATAATATTTATACCAAAGTCGCCAAAAGGATTGTTTAATTTGGGTACATTGTTTCCAAAACTTAAGTCTATTTCGTGGGATATTACAAATTTCGTGTTCAAGGTACATTGTTAAGGCATTTCCTATTATACTGTGTTACAATTATTTTTGTTAATACAAGGGTATAATGAATAAAAAAGCAGAATTATCTTACACAATTTATTTGCTATTATGTAATTATCAGTTATAGGAGATGGGCCGACTAACTCAGACAGTTCAGGGGTGAGTGACTCGAGCTAATGAGGTTATTTTGGAATGTTACCTACTAATATTTGTAACTTTATTAATGGTTAATTTTTGAACAATAGAAAATTGTTGAGCGCCACCGCTGGTCGTATCCCAACGGACACGGATAAATAATACGGAAAGACTGCACCTGATTAGAAAGTGAGGGCGAAGGTTCAGCCGTACTTTGATAGGTCTCTGCTTGTAGAAACGGGACCAGAAGCGAAGAAAATAAGGAAGTTGTACCACCAACTGGTACCAGGAACTACTTGTACAGTAACGCCGGGACCAAAAACTTCCTGAAATCAATGTGTAATAAACTTTATATAATCTTGGCGCTGGAGCCATAGAGTAAGCTGGCCCAGCGGGAAAGAATACGACCTTCATATACCTAATGATGAGTGCCGTGCGAGGGCGGAGTGACAGGGGTGCAGTATTGAACTAAAGCCTCAAAATATCATCTGAGTTCATGAGAGCATCTACTCAAAACCTACCCTCTTTTCAAGGAAAACGCTGCTACGCGATCGCTAATCAGCAATGTCAACTCCGGAGAGAAGATAGGTCAAGGGCCGTCGTAATATTGGCGCGCCGCCCACGTGTTCGATGTCGCGACAACACCAACGCCGAAGTCAGCTCTCTCGAACACCGCTAATCTCGAAAAGACCTGCTGTCCTCCGGCACAGTGACGAGCAATTTTAATTTAGACAATTCCTGTCAGACTAACATTTTTTTTTAATGAAGAGAACGATTTATTATGCCCACCTGTCGTTGACACACATGTGTCAAATATTCTATGTAACAACTGTGACCTGGCGTTAAATAACTATAATCATTTACATCAGAAGAAGATAATGGTATCAGAGGTCGAGAATTAAAAATACTTTCAATTTCTATGAGTATAGTAGTAATTTGTTATTAAGTTAATAACTGATTTTGCAAGACTTTTTAGGTGATATTTGGTACTCTTGACTGCAGCCTCCCAACCAACCTTCAATCAAAGCTTTAAAAGATTTTTTTTGGTAATAAAACATGATGTTTCGTATCATAAGGCAGGTTTGCATTCATTAGGCGGCCATCGCACCTAAGAACTCCATCGACGTTTTTGTATAGACCTAAGTTTCTAGATAAATGGGTTTGTTTACCTCTAAATTCTTCATGAAAGTATTTTGCTTGAATTTGTTGAAGTTGACGTGTCTCTGAGCTTCTGGCTTCTCCTGTTTGACCAGTGATGTACAAGATACCTGAAATAAAGTATCTGGAATACAAAATACTTTTATATTAAGTATGTGAAATACTAGATATCAAATACGTATCTTTTGAATACTTTTTATAGATAAAATACTTTAGTAAAAAAAAAAACATTTTTTTTTAATGAAAGTTTATTTCTTCACATGTAAATCGCGTTGATCACGCAAACGTGACACAATATAATATTATATTTTTAAGGTTTCAATTGAGACTTAAGTAAAACCAGTTCGTCAAATAGTTTATCACTCATTTTTCTTTGATGAGGCCTCATGATCATGCCCCCAAATGAGAAGAGTCCTCCACAGGGGCAGAACTTGGCAAACAAGTGTTGTATTTGAAAAATATTTTTTTATTGTAGGATAAGCATTTAAGCTCTTTATGTCGGTATCTTTATTATTTAAGTACTGCAATGTTTCTAAGTCAGCGGTGCTGCCAGTAGATCCTGTGTTTTCGGCACTTGCAACAGAGGAATCAGAATCCTCTAAAAACATGTAATAAGATTCATCTTTTGACTTCTTTTTTATATCACCTTCAATATTGTCTAAAGCCTCCGATTTTTGTTTTTCAGTTCGATTAATTTTTCGTGTTTCAGTCAGTATAAGTGCTTTTACATATTCTTTCCGCGCTTTTGGTACCAATCACATCTAGCAGAGAGCCGCAGTATTTTAGATTTTCCGTCCTAAGACATTTGATCACATGTTGAATTCTTACTAGCTCGGGTAACAGAGAACCATAATAAGTGTCTTTTTCCCCTTGCAGGCTTTGAACTATTTGAGCTTCTACTATTGGCTTTGATCAGTCCACAGATTCACTTAAGAAGTGATTTTCCTTTAACGGAGGTAATTTCAACATTTTCATGGTTTCACTAAGACCGTTCTGTACGGCTAAAAGATCTTGTATGGAATTGTAATAAGAGTTCCATCGAGTTGCGCATGGAGAAGTTGGTGACTTTCCTGTCATCTCTAAATATGTTTCACATGCTTTTGGTGATGTGGAACATAAATTCCAGAATGCTTGGCACTTTGCTAAAGCTGCATCATGCAGTTTCTTATAAATAGTATTTTTTTTAACCTTGCTTGTTTAAAATCTGTACTGGCAATCAAATGCAAAGTGTGCGTAGCGCATCATTCATGTACGGGAAGTAGGCAATCATTTTCTAAGTCTGATGAAAATGAAACATCTGGAAAAGCTTATAGTAGTAGCAACGAATCATCATCTTCATCATTACCTTCTGCGAGTGATATTTCTTCAATATGTGAAACATGTTCATTATTTCCAATTGTCTCTGAATCAGTTTTCCCAAATACATCAAAAGCCTTAACCATATTTGAACCGTTATGTGTAACTGTCTTAACTATTTTTGATAGTTTTAGGTCATGGTCTGAATGTATATCAGCTATCATTTCTGCAACTTTATCATATGTGTGAGCCCCTTTGAATCTTCTACAAGCAACGGCAGCACTTTTCCTCTCAAATGTCGCACTTTCAATCCAATGGGCTGTAACCCCCAAATAACTTCTTTTAGAGGAAGACCAAAATCAGCAGTACTGCACACGAATTCGACAGTGTTCAACTTTACTTTAATTTTTTTCTTAAATTCATTATACTCATCACAAATTTTATTTTTAGCTGTATGACGGCACATAACGTTTGGAGGCTTTGTTAGTTGCTGTGCACCTTCAATCAAAGCTTTAAAAGACTTATACTCCACTATTGATACCAGTGACATGGTTTCAACAATAAATTGTGCAATCAACTTGTCTAAATTAACAGATTTTGAACCACTTGCAACATCAGTAAGAGTAGACTGCTTTAATTTTTTATGTATTACTGCTAATTCTGAACTGCTGCTACTAATCTCAGTATGTTTTCTTTTCTTAAGGTTTGAATTTTAAGTTTTTCATAAGCTTGTTCGACTCAAACTTATAAATATCTATAATTTACTTTTACGTGTCTCCCTCAAACACAGACTATTTTTCGGAATGATTAAAAATGACACGAATCAAGGGGCTATCAATTTGGCCCCAGACTAAAGATTCAACGGCGCATTCAGTTTTATCTACGACAACATTGAAATTTAAAATTAATGTCACCTAAAATGTCACAATAGAATCAATTATCTATTACTAAAATTATTTTAGCAAACATAGTATCTACAAAATACTAAGATACCAAACAAAAGGTATTTAAATACAAGATACAAAATGAATTTTAAAATCGTTTTATAGATGCAAGATGAAAATACGTATTTTGTATCTTGTATCTGTATTTCAGATACTTGTATCTTAGATAAGTTACATCTCTGTGTATGATCGCTCATTTCGGCATTAATTATTACCTCACTATCACTCGGTACTCCTTGTTTCGTAAAATCTGGAGGTATGACCTCCAGACTCTCCGCCACTGCAGAAGCAATATTTTTAACTCTGTAGTACAGACTTTGGCCACAAGTCCTTGTATATGTATTGAGGCAACTAGGATCCATAAGGCTAGCTGTTAATGCCATTGTTGTTGTCGGGTCGCCACGTCAGCAGGGTTGTTTTTAGTATTTATGTAGCACATCTCAGCTTCCACATTCTGTTTGATTTTATTAACTCTGTTAGCCACAAATGGTGGTAACCACTTATTTGACTTGACCCAACCGAGAACGACCAAGCTATCAGTCCATAAATATTGTTTGTTTATCTCTAACTCTAAGGTTTTCTTCAGGTAAGTCAACAAGTGACTTCCTATAACATAGCCAAGGACTTCTAATTGTGTTATGGTCAAGGCTTTCTTATTTTTATTTGTAATTGGATATGTTATGATTTTATTGGTTTTCTTTATCTTTTCAAAAGGTACTACTCTAGTCTTTCACATTAGAAGGGAGCATGATAATGTATGCTTATTATCACCCCTTAAATAAACTACTGCCGCATATGCATCTTGCGATGCATCAGTGAAACAGTGCAATTCATATTAAGTCTTTCTTTCCCTAATTTGATGAGCGGCAAGTCGAGGTAGCTTTATAGTTGTGACTTCATGTAAGTTAGTAACTATCGTCTTCCATTCTTCAGATAATGTTGGAGACAGTCCTGTTTACCATTTATACCCCTGTTTTCACAACTCTTGCAAAAAATAGTTTTGCAGGTAGGATGATTGGTGATGCAAATCCACGAGGGTCATAAATCGAGGCTAAAAGTTTAGTACTTCTCTTTTGGTTACCTGTTTCCCATCAATATTAAAGAGATCGTCTTTAATTGAAAGCTGTAGTACATTATTCTTGTTGTCCCAAGATAAACCAAGTACTTTAATATTATTTGATGGTTTCAACTCGTGGTCTTCTTCCATTTTTGTCATAAGATTTTTATCATTTAAGGTGATTGGACTTCAAATAATAAAAATCTTATTGTATCTATCTATCTATCTTACGAATATTCATTGACAAAGTACTAAAAACTTTCTTCGTTCGGTATACAAACTGTATACAAATTAGTTTGTATGCTTCATCTGTGGAATTGTATAGCTCTTACTGGTCCTCCTGCCTTCCCCGTAGACCACCTCTACCTCCAGAATCTTTCACAATTACTCTTATCACCACACATCTTTATGTATCTCTCAATGCATTTCCTCTTTACACAATTATACAATACATTTTATAATACATTTGCAACTCACCCACTCAGCAGTCTTTACTGTTCTCAGGTCTGAGAGTTTCTTTAATATTCAACATTCACACGTCTTCTTATCATTGTAACACAACTACTCAAACTCCCTATATCTTTCATCATTATAGCACTGAGTTTTATGTTCATCGTCAAAGAATTATTCTCTTTTTTATAACCCGCCATAATTTATGTCAAAGTTATGATGATTTTACACAGTATTCCCAACATAAAATTAATAATATTTAGTTCGGAAATCGCATGTTTCGCGACAGACATTGAACCATTCTGACAATCCTGTGACAGAAACTCTGGACCTTTGAGCCATTCTTTATAAGAATCTACGTATTCAGACCTAGTACCTAAATCAGCTGGATGGCACGTATCTAAGCTGTAAGGATCTATTTTGCTTTATTTCATTGATTCTGCGCGAAACAAACGGCGGAAGTAACTTCTCAGAACTATACCAACTTAAAATAATTTGACTATCAGTCCATAGATATAATTTTATGCCGTAAAAACTTTTGTATGTATTTTAAAAGTCTGTAACCAATTAGTACTCCTAGCAGTTCTAGTCTTCAAATTATCCTAAAATTATTTTGATCCTTTAAAGGATCTAATCAACTCTTACCAATAACGAAATTGATAGAATTATTAGAACCCAAAATGTACGAGCTAACGCAGTACATAGCAACATTAATATTTAGCATAAAATAAGTTATTGCACTATGACCCAGATGTGTTTGCATACACATCACTTTTCAAAATGTACAAATAATTATTATAATAAACTCAGTGTTTTAATAGCATTCATACGGTTCGGTTTTATTTAGCACTCCTTTGAGTAACCTTACCCTTAGCAAGCATACGAGTGTTAGGGAGCAATTCCTACACAAGAAACAACGTAGATATGACTGGCATACGTTTCCAAGGATGCGTCTGTAAAGCAGTGTAATTCATACTGGATCTCATGACAACAATTGTTAAGATTGCGAGCATAAAATCTGTCTACATGAATTTCTTTCAGGTATGAAAACTTAGATACAATTTTATTCCATTCAGTAAGTAAGTCGACATTTAATTTAGAATCCCATAGATTTACTACTCTTTCGTCATATCTAGATATCTAAGATGTTTGTCTTTGTGGTCATAGTTTTTCTCTTGTCTTCTGTTATTTTCCTATAGGTATGTATTTTATAAGCTGAATAAAGCCTTTAATTCTCAGGGCTTGTCTTAATGTCATAACAATTTATTCAGCTTATATGTAAAAAACTATTTTCAAAATGTCTATAGAAAAAGTCGAAAAGGATTCCGTAAAACTCAAAACTAGTATGATGCGTTATCTACGACCAGATCGCTTTGAGGAGGAGCCAAATGTTCCAGCAGCAGATCTGAAATGAAAGCACTAGTGTTTTACATTTTAGAATTTTCTATCTGAAAAATGTAGAAAGAATACTGAAGATTCTATAAAGCTAAAGATGTAAGTAAACCTCATATCTCCAACTATCTATTCTTACATTCGTAATATCTCGACGTATTCAGAAGCTATATAAACTTTAGAAAACACCTACATTAAACCTAAAAACGAAATACTTGCCCGACATCTATTAACATCGCGGAGACAAAAATCGCGAGAATCTTTAAGGAGTACGTCCAATCCCTGAAACTATTAGCTCTTGAATGTAAATTTCAAGCTGGAACTGCTGAAGTTTACCAAAATGAAATGATACGTGAGGCATTTATAGCCGGAATCAATTCCCAAAAAATTAAATAAAAAGATTATTGGAAAAACTAAACCTTACCTTAGTTAGAAGAAGCCATGAAACTAGTCTTTAGAGGACGCTGAGACTAATACTCAAACCTTCACGAACGCGAACTTTTCTCTAAATCTCAACGCAGTAACAAACCCGCCCGCTACCTTTTCGACTTCTCGCCAGAACACTAAAGGGAATCAAGTGCCCAGCTTCCGTGCTGAATGCTAGCTCTGCTCAAAGACAGGTCATTCGCTAATGTTTGTCGAAGCGGTCTGCCTCAAAGAGTAAATGCTGTAACTGAAAATGAGATAGAAATAAGTGAAAGCAAAGAAAATTTGTCTGCAATATTAGCTGCTTCACCAAATAGTCTCAGAAAGGCTACTGTGTCTATTACTGTCAATGATTATCAAGCAGATGCATTCATCGATACAGTGAGCTCTGTAAGCTTTATAGATCGGAGCTTAGAACAAACTATGAAAATAAGACGAAACCTAGTAGACAATCTATTTCATTATCCTCCTTAAGCGACATTTCCTTTGTTGATGGCGTTTGCTATGCTACAATTAAACTCTATAATTATCAGTACAAGCAACATCCTTTATTTATCGTGAATAACTTATGCGCAGATGTCATTATCGGTCATGATTTGCTCAAAAATCATTCTTCTTTACACTTTGAATTCGTAGGTTCTGGAGAACCGTTAAAAATTTGTAACGTAATGGCGGCATTTCTACCTCCTGCTTCTCTTTTTACAAATCTTACTCCTGATATAAAGCCAATTGCCGTCCGATCCAGACGTTATAGTATCGCCCTGGCGAGCACAAGTTTTGATTGCAGGTGACCACAGCGAGAGAATGGTGATTGACTATTTCAGGACCATTAATAAGTATACAGAGTTAGATGCATTTCCTTTACCAAATTTAGAAACCATCGTATCAAAATTTTGAAAAGCAATGATGTCTTCTTCTGGGATATACAATACTTTTACTTCAGTTTCTTGTGATTTCAGAAGATCGTATGCTTCGGCTTCTGCAGATGGTATATCATGTTTATAGGCAACCAGTTTGTCAAACTTTCTAATGATCGCGCCAACTACACCATATGCAGGGCCTTTGCCATGCGCAGCTTCGAAAAAGAACCACGTCCTGGCTTCGTTCCTCCCTGCTGTAGAGCGACTTGCGTCATCCAGAAGGAAAAAAGTCTTAACATTTCGTTCTATTATTTTTGAACCGTTGTCGATTTTTTATTCTGCCTACGAGACCTAATTTCAAAGACAAACTGGATTTCATACGATACTTCGTTGTACTCTCATTATTAACAATATTTTTTAA